AACTTACAGTTACCAAAGGGGAAAGGGGATGGGAGGGATAAATTAGGAGTTTGGGATTAGTAGATACAAAGTACTGTATATAAAAGAGATAAACAACAAGGACCTACTAGCACAGGGAACTATATTCAATATCTTGTAATAACCTATAATGAAAAAGAATATGAAAAAAATACATATGTATGTTATAACTGAATCACTGTGCTGTACACCACAAACTAACACAACATTGTAAATCAACTATACTTCGATTGAAAAAAAAAGAAGTGACAATGGGGAGCAGGGACACTCTGGGCCCCAGGCAATAAGGGGTATGAGAGGTTCATCCATATTGCTGAGTATAGTTATAGTTTATTTATTCTTGTATATAGTGTTGCAATGTACAAGCAGACCTCAAAGAGATTGTGGGTTTGGTTCCCGACACCACAATGACGTGAACGATACAACAAAGCAAGTCACATGCATTGTTTGATTTCCCAGTGCGTATAAAAGCTATGTTTACATTCTATGATAGCCTAAGTGTGCAATAGCATTGTGTCTAAAAAAGAATGTACACACCTTAATTTAAGAAATACTTATTGCTAATAAAATGCTAACCTTTATCTGAGCCTGCAGTGAGTTGTAGTAGTAACTTCAAAGATCACTGATCACAGATCCCTGTAACAATACAATAATAACGAAAAAGTTTGAAATATTGTGAGAATCACCAAAATGTGACACAGAGACACGAAGTGAGCAAATACTGTTGGAAGATGGTGCTGATAGACTTACTTGACGCAGGGTTGCTAAGAATTTTCAGTTTGTAAAAAACAATAAAGCCAAGCACAGCATAGCAAGGTCTGCCTGTGGGCACGTACTGCAAATTATCCATTGTATTACGGTGGACATTTGGTGTCGGAGTCAATCTGGGCTGCCGTAACAAATCACCACAGGTTCAGGGCTTAAACAACAGAAATGTGTTTTCTCTCAAGTCTGGAGGCTGGACGTCCCAGATCGAGGTGCCGGCTGATTCTGTTTCTGGAGAGGGGTCTCCTCCCAGCTTGTAGACAAGCACCTTCTCTCTGTCCTCACATGGTCTTTCCTGTGAAAGACCCTCAGGGGAGGGGGGAGGCAGAATGAGCTCTCTGGCATCTCTTATAAGAACAGTCATCCTGGAAGATCCAGACCCCACCCTTCTGACCTCATGTAACGTTAACTACATCCTTAGAAGCCCCACTTTCAATACAACCATGCCGGGGTTAGGGCTTCAACATATGAATATGGGGGGGATACAAACATTTGGTCCACAACAGTTGAGTGGTTTCCAATTTTTGATTATTATAAAAAGTGCCACTGTGGATCTTGTACGTGTTTTCAAAGAACAGATGAATATGTTTCTGAAGTTCTATTCCTAGGAGTGGATTTGCTGGGTTACAGGATTTGCACGTGTTCAGTTTTCCAAATGTTCTTCCGAAATGGATGTACCGGTTGGCTTTTCCACTCTTGAGAGTTCCATATTTGTTTTAATTTTTCCATTTTAGTCATTGTGTTGGAAGTGGCATGGTATTCACACGGTGGCTTTAATTTTTGTTTTCTGATGGCTAATGAAGTTGAGTGCTTTTTCATGTTACTGGCCATTTGGATATCCTCTGTTGTTGGGTGCCTTTTGGGGTTGTGTTTTTTTTGCCCATTTTTGCATTCACTTTTTGATTGACTTGTGGGAGTTCCTTATACATTCTGAATGTGAGTCCTTTATTAGATATGTATGACATAGACCTTCACCCACTCTTTGGGTTGACCTCTCATTCTCTGACTGGTGTACTTTAATGAGCAGATGATCTTACTACTCAAGAAGTTCAATTTGCCTTTTTTTCTTTATTTTGAGACCTTCTATTTTGGTTTAAGGAATCTTTGCCTCACCCAGGTTTCTGAAAGTAAAAGCTCCTGCCTTTCACATTTAAATCTACAACCCACCTAAAAATGATCTTTATGTATGGTGGGACATGTGATGGAAGCCCATTTCCCCATATGTTTTTCCACCTGTTCTGGTACCGTTCATTGAAACCATTCTTTTTCTATTATATGGTGTAACCTTTGAGATAAAGCAGGTAATTATATATGTGTGGGTCTGATTCTGGGCTCTGTTCTGTTCCATTGGTTTGTCTGTCCTTAAAACAAAGTGACCAGAGTTTTATACGTCTCACCACACACTGTGAGTCCTCCAGCTTTGTGTTCCTTCTTCTGATTTGTCTCTGCTATTCTCAGCCTTTGCATTTCTATGTAAACTAATTTGTATGGAATCCATATAGAATAATTATATATTTAATATGGAATCTATGTAAGTTAATTCCATATCAATTACTCTGTAGATCAGTTGACAGAAAATTGATACATTTGCAATATGAAATCTCCTAATCAATGGATATGGTATATATTCCTTAATTTCACTCACAAATAGTTTGTAGTTTTCAAAGCAAAGGTCTCAAATGCTATTCATTAGATTATCTCTATACATTTTATGCATATTTTTGTATTTTAAAAAAATCTCTAGAATGTCAGCAACAGCTGAAATATAGAAATACAACTTATTTTTATTATTGATCTTGTATTCTGGAACCTTTCTAAATTTGCTTATAAATTGCTAGTAGTTTTGGACTTTCTAGGTTCATAATCTATAAACTGCAAAGAATGATTGTTTTATTTCTTATCTTAATGCATTGGGCAGGCCCTCCAGGAAATTTTTGAATCGGAGAGGTATCTTTGACTGGTTTCCAGTCTCAGAGGGAAACCTGTACTGTTTCGCCATTAAATGTGATGTTAGCTGTGGCATTCTGTAGATACTTCATGTCAGCGTAAGGCAGCTACCTTTCCTGGGTATCTATGAGCAACTGATCTCGTGTCCATGATTCTTACTCACGATGCTTGTTTCCTACTAGCTTTGTAACTTGCAGTTGTGAGCAGGACATTTATCTGGGGGATTCTTGTGTGGCCTGTGTTGAGGGTTTACTCAACTATATTGAGTGATATATTTGTTTGTTTGTTTTTGCCAGATTCCCAAGGAAAATTACCCTCCTATACCCAACTTTTATGGTAATTTCTTGGCTTAGGGGTTCCAAGCCACAAATCAATTTTAGCTCAAATCAGAGCCAAGTCAACAGTGACGGCATTTCTGGGAGAAGCTGTTTTGGGCTTTTTTTCCCCTGTGCTAATCCCGGTCTAGAAGAGACGTATTTACTCCTCAGCTCCTCATAAT